ATTTTATTTTCTTATTTTTAGAAAGAGGGGAAGGGAAGGAGAAAGAGAGGGAGAGAAATATCAAATGGTTGTCTCTCACATGCCCCCAACTGGGAACCTGGCCCACAACCCAGGCATGTGCCCTGACTGGGAATCAAACCAGTGACTTTTCAGTTTGCAGGCCAGCACTCAATCCACTGAGCCACACCAGCCAGGGCCTACAAATCCATTTACTTTTATCCTTACATAAAGGGGAGGAGAAAAACAAAAACTCTCAAAAAGATGAATATATAACTCTACTTGATCACTTTTGATCAACACTAAAAGACAAGTAGGACTTAATTTTAATTTCCTTCCTTTATAATCATTCTTTTAAAAAACTTTTTGATGGCTCCCAGCCAAGAGGGAGGCGTAGGTAGATACGCCTTTGCTTTCTCTTACACAACCAAAAGAAGGACAACAACCAATTTAAAAACAAAAAATAACCAGAACTGCCAGAAAATTGAACTGTATGGAAGTCTGAAACCAAGGAGCTAAATAAGAAACATTCATTCAGACTGGTAGGAGAAACAGAGATGGGCAGTCAGGGTGGAGAGGACACACAGCAAGGTGGTGACTGGAATACTGGGTGGTTCCACATTTGCATGCAGATAAACTGGGAAGAGCTGGGGAGCGAGATAGACTGTGCAACACAGGGTTCCAGTGAGGGTCCTCTGGAATAAAGCCTCAAAACCCCTGGCTGGTGTAGCTCAGTGGACTGTGTGCAGGCTGTGAACCACAGGGTCGCCAGTTCAATTCCCAGTCAGGGCACATGCCTGGGTTGTGGGCCAGGTCTCCAGTTGGGGGCGCACGGGAGGCAACCACACATTGATGTTTCTCTTCCATTCTTTCTACTTCCCTTCCCCTCTCTCTAAATACATAAAATTAAAAACAAAAACTCTGGCTGTAAAAATCTGTGGGGGTTGCAGTAGCAGTGGGAGAAACTCCCAGTCTCATAGGAGAGTCCACTAGAGGGACCCACGGGGTCCTAGAACATAAACAAACCCACCTACCCGGGAATCAGCACCAGGAGGGCCCAATTCACTTGTGGGTAGTGGGGGAAGTGACTGAAAGTGGGGCAAGAGCCAAGCAAACAGCAATGTTCCCTCTCTGACCCTTCTCTACATACAGTGCCACAATGCAGGGAAGTGGGTTGCCCCTCCCTCTCGAATACCTAAGGCTCTGCCCCTTACAACGTAACAAGTGCACCAAGACAAAGAAACATGGCCAAAATGAAAGAACAGATCAAAGCTCAAGAAAAAGAACTAACCTGTCAGATGCAGAGTTCAAATCTCTGGTAATCAGGATGCTCACAGAACTGACTGAGTGTGGAGGCAAAATAAAAGAAGAAGTAAAGGCTAAGCAAAGTGAAATAAAGAAAAATATACAGGGAACCAACAGTGAAGGGAAGGAAACTGGGACTCAAATTAACGATTTGAAACAGAAGGAAGAAATAAACATTCAACCAAAACAGAATGAAGAAACAAGAATTCAAAAAAAAAAAAAAAAAAAAAAAAGGAGAGGCTTAGGAACCCCCAAGACAACTTTAAACATTCCAACATCCAAATCATAGGAGTGCCAGAAGGAGAACAGGAAGAGCAAGAAATTGAAAACTTATTTGATCAAATAAGGAAAACTTCCCCAATTTGGCAAAGGAAATAGACTTCCAGGAAGCCCAGGAAGCTCAGAGAGTCCCAAAGCAGTTGGGCCCAAGGAAGAATACACCAAGGCACATCACAATTACATTACCCAAGGTTAAAGATAAGGAGAAGATCTTAAAAGCAGGAAGAGAAAAGGAGACAGTTACCTACAAAGGAGCTCCCATAAGACTGTCAGCTGATTTCTCAAAAGAAATCTTAAAGGCAAGAAGGGGCTAGAAAGTATTCAAAGTCAAAAAAGGCAAGGACCTAGATCCAAGATCCCTCTATCCAGCAAAGCTGTCATTTAGAATGGAAGGTCAGATAAAGTGCTACCCAGATAAAGTCAAGTTAAAGGAGTTCATCATCACCAAGTCCTTCTTATATGAAATGTTAAAGGAACTTATCTAAGAAAAAGAAGATCAAAACTATGAACAGTAAAATGATAACAAACTCAGAACCTTCAACAACTGAACCTTAAAAAAAATCCAAAACAAAAACAAATTAAGCAAACAACTAGAACAGGAACAGAATCACAGATATGGAGATCACATGGAGGGTTATCAGTGGGGAGGGGGAGGGAGGAGAATGGGGAGTAAAGGTACAGGGAATGAAAAGTATAATTGGTAGGTTCAAAATAGACAGTGAGAGGTTAAAAAATAGTATAGGAAGTGGAGAAGCCAAAGAAATTACGTGTAGGATCCAAGGACATGAACTAAGGTGGGGGTGGGGGAAGAATGCTGGAGGGAGCGGGGTGCAGGGCAGAGGGGGATAAAGGGCAGAAAAAAAATGGGACAACTGTAATAGCATAATCAATAAAATATACTTTAAAAAATAAAAAACTTTTTGATAAGCAAATGTTTAAATATTCATAACAGTGGAGACCATCAGCCCATATACCCATTACCCAGGTTCACCAATTACCAACATACAGCTGATCATTTTCATCTATAAGCCAGTGCACTTCTCTCTCACGTCCCACTTCCAATTTTTAAATATTTGCTGCATTTTAGCTATGTCCCTTGGTCTCTGAACATCTGCTTCATCTGCTTCCTGGTTACTCAGTTTGGAATCAGCATTCTCCCCTCCTCCCCCGGCATCTTCTCCTCTCTATTCTTCTACTTTTTGACACCACATCCAGACAACCCAAGCTCCATGAAGGATTTTCCAAAATGAGAGTGGGAACAAAATTCACTGAATTTGTGGGCTTTATAGAGACCAAGTTTGAGTAAGATATACAGTACATTATGAAACATCCAACAAATTCTGTCTCTTCAATTTAGTGCCCCCTTCCAACAGCCACTGCTTTAGGTCCTATTTTTAGAACTCTCTATCTGGACTTCTGTATCCCTCTCAAATCTCCTTTCCTTCAAACTGCAAGAGACAGTGTTCTAAAATATCTCCCGATCATGTCACCCCCTGCTTAAAAACTCTTCAAAGATCCCTAACAACTTTAGAACAAAGTCCAGACACTCCAGTGTGGCTCCACGTCCTTTCACTGCCTGGCTCTTGCCTATCTCTAGTGTCTCTCTCCCCAAACCCTATGCCCAACAGCTGTTCCCCTGGTTGCACTGCTCATCTTTTGTACACTCTGTTCCTCTGCCTGTCTTCATTTGGTAACTCCCACTATGTCTTCAAGGCCACCCAAACCTGACCTCCCCCTTTATACTGCTCTGCACTCACTGAGCCACAGGTAATAAACCATCATCACCGGACTAAGCCGCTGCTGACCGCCAGAAACTGTGAGATAGTGTTTGAATTTGTGGATGAAAAAAGTAATAAAGAGCATTATGTGAGAGAATAGGGGAGCAATAAGACCCTGCCCACCACCACGTCTCCGAATCCTGATGATCTCATTTAAGCCCTTGGCCCCACCTATTTCTGGTCCCCTGGACTTTCCTGCATGAAAGTCAGTGGAATCCTTCCATAGTGTGAACTAGTTTTAATGGATTCTTGACACTTGGAGCCAAAAGCACTCCAGTCAATGCAACAAGGACCCAGAAAACTGGTAAAATGCCCTAGTAAACGTCCAAATGATACCTGGGTCATTTCCTTTGTTTCATCCTTCCCTGCTCTGTATTTTCTCTTTAGCATGATTCATACTTTGCTTTTTTATCTTATTTTCTATTGGTATCCTCCTGTAGAATTAAGTTCCTTGAGGACAAGAATTTTGTGTTTTGTCCAGTGCTATGTCCTCAGCACTCCTCCACACCTAAGATTACCGCTGGCACTCCACAGACACTCAGTACTTGTTGAGTTAATCTAAGCTGCTGTATGCTCACTGTGAAACTGTCATGAAAGAAGTGGTGACACCTGGAGGTGGCATTAGAAAGACATTAGCAGTCAGTACTTGGAGAGGAGCACAAAACACAAGCTCCTCAGCTGAAATCACAGGATTTCTTAAAGAAAAGCAAGAAACTGCAATTGCCTATCCTGATTAACTTATCATTCTGCTCAAGGGCGAACTCTCTTTGCTAGCTTTTAGCCAATCAGTTCAAGGAGGTGGGAACTCTTTCACAGACAACAGCGTTCTTTTTTTCCCTTTAAACTCTGCCTTGCTTTTGTTCAGTAAGACAGGCAAGACATGAGTGATCTTTCCTACAAATGAGTAAATATCATTTGAGCTTTGGGTGACTTTGCCAGTTTAACAATATCCTGACAAGAGGACATGACTATCTGACCCTTGCAAGAAACTTCTTATGGACATTCTGTTTTAGTATTACTGTTTTTAATTAAGCAACCCAGGCAGCACCCTCAAGTGCACGAGTAGCAACAGGCTATTTTACCTGTTCAGGCAACATGGGGTGGGAAGTTTCCTACTGGGAGTCGAATCCTGTCTTTGGGGGAAACGGGCTCAAACTCAACGCGAATTAAGTTCAGGCTGCGGAAATCGGACCTGCTGACCCACTGGGGCTCGAAGGGCTGGAGGAGCTAACTGGCCCCAGCTTCTGCAGCAGCCTTCCCACCCGCACCTCTGAACGCACACGCGTGGCATCGAATGCCAAGGGGAGGTGGGCGCGAGCTCGGCCGAGCTCCTTGGGGTCTGGGGTCTCCTGGGAGTCTGGGTCGCCGAAGGTGAGAAACCAGGTATAGAGTGAAGAGGAGGGGCCCTGTGTAGTACAAGAGCGAGAAGTACAGGCCCATCTTCACTCACCTGCCCGCGATCCCTCCAGTCACCAGCACCCGAGCCAGCTCCAGCGCGGCCACCGCCCTCCTCAACCCGCCCCCTATCGTCACTTCCGGCCTGCCGGAACACGGGCGGAAGTGCGGCAGAGTGGGCCCCACCTCCTGGCTGGCCTCGGTTGCTAAGCAACGCTCACTTGGGGTACGCTCCCGGGGGATCTGATTCTTGGGCCCTCTGTCCCAGTCCCTTGGGCAGGCCTCCGGGGCTGTCGGATCCAGGGATTCCAGGTCTACATCTGGCGGCCGGGTGAGTCTCCAGACGCGCTTGAAGCCGGAGTGCGCGTGGGGATCCAGCGCCACGTGAGTGGGCAGTCGCCACAACCCAGACCTGGCCTTGTTATTTCGATGCGTTTGAAGTAGTATCTACTTGTGGTTTTGTTCTCATTCTTCCGTGATTATTAAAAGCATCTTTCCGCATGTTTATTGGCCAAGACTTTTTCTCTTCTCTGGTCCAGTTTTCTGTTGAATGGTTTTTTTTCTTACTGTTTCTTTGAGCTTTCTTTTAGATATTAAATTTTTGTCAGTGATTTGTGTTATAAGTACCTCAGTTTGCTTCTTTTCATTTTGTAGTGCCTTTTGATAAACAGTTTATATTTTAATACAGAAAAATATATCTTTCACGATTAGTACTTTTTTTTTAATTTATAAAATATTTTATTTATTTATTTTTAGAGAGAGAGGGGAAGAGAGAGAGAGAGAAGGCAGCCCACAACCCAGGTATGTGTCCTGACCAGGAATCAAACCAGTGACTTTTTGGTTTGCAGGCCAGTGCTCAATCCACTGAGCCACACCAGCCAGGGCTAATTTTTCTTTTTAATACTCACCAAGAGAAACATCCTGGTTGTCTCTCACATGCGTCCCCCCTGGGTATCAAAACCACAACCTTTTGGTGTACAAGATGACACTCCAACCAAATGAACCACCCTGGGAAAACTATGGTTAGTGCTTTTTGTGTCTTATTTGAGGAATCCTGCCCTACCCCAAGTTACTCTTCTCTAATGACCTTAAAGTTTTGATTTAACCTTGAAGTCTCAATTCAGTTCGGAATAGATTTAATGTGAGGTAAGGAGATAATTCTTTTTTTCCATTTGAATAACCAGAAGTCCTAGTACCATTTACTTTAATTTTCTTTCTGAATGACATCCTTTATAAATTCCTTTAGTGCAGGTCTCTTGTTTTAATTTCAGTTCCCCAGAAAGTAGAGCTTGACACAGAAGCTTTTGTGCTGCTACTTCATAAGGGTTTTGGTACCAGGGAATTAGGACTTGGGGCTACAGGAGTGAGGCATGGAAGGAGGGGGGCACACACAAGATTGAGTTAAGGTGCTGGCCACTGTTTGGTCTCAGGCACTCTGGGTTGTTTGCTCTCCTCAGCTGGTCTCCCATGATGTGGACTGCTGCCGTGTCTCAGGATGGCCAGTGGGGGCTGGGAGTGTGTATGGGAGGAGACACAAGTCTGTCCACCAGATTTCACCTCCAGCTGGACCAAGTTTAAGTTTTGCCTCATAGCATATAACTTTTCTGTGCCTCTGAGTTGCACATGTGTATTCATGCCAGGCCTCAGTGACAACCGGGAAGCCCCTGGGTGGGACAAGGACAAATGCCACAAAGCAGTCAGTGAGTGAAATGATGAGATGTCAGTGTTGGAGTCTGTGGTCAGGAGTTGGCAAAAAATGGCTATAGGAAATTCTTCACATCTTTGTACACACAAATGCTTCCTGACATCAAAAAGTAGTATTTGTTTCACCTCCCCTTGAATCTGCATTGGCCTTTTCACTTGCTTTGACTGACAGATAATGGTAAGAGTAAAGTTCTAGGGTTTAAGCTTAGACCTTAAAAGGATTGACAGCTTCTACTGTCTCCCTGGTGGTGTCAGCTGCCATACTGTGCAGCAGCTGGGGTTAGGTTGCTGAATGACATCTCATGCACAGAGACAGAGGTCACGTGGAGGACTGGAGGGGCCAGGCATGTCAATGAAGCCTTTTTGGACCATCATTTAGCCCAGTTTCATGTAAGCAGTTTTGTGAACCCAGTCAACACCGCCTAGTGCTGAAGAGCCCAGCTAAACCCTGGCTGAATTCCACAGAATCCTGAGAAGCAATAAATCATTTTTTTTTTCACACGGTTGAGGTTTTAAGTGGCTTGCTACACAGAAATAAACATTTGACCTGCTTTACCATAAAACGGATCTCGCTATGAGGCAGTGTTGTGCAGGATTGATTCCATGTCAGAGACTCAGAATTCTGAAAGCCTTTGGATGTATGGGCCAGTGTAGAGGTGCTGTAGTCAGGATATTCTGACAATTCCAAAAGGATGAATCACCATCCCCCTAGAGTGGAAAGAACCCAATGTAATCAACCTATCTTCAAGTAACAGACAGCTCTACACAAGGGAGAGTACCATATCAAGAGTTCACTGTCAGTCTCTTGATGTGGCTAGGGCTATAATAGCCTTAATGGATGGCTGACAATGAGCTCACAGGACAATCACAAAGCAGTAATTACAGAACCTAATGTCAATTCTATGCTTGATTTTAGCATTCACAAGACATATGACAGGCACCATTAGAATCTTTATTTCACAGATGTAAAAAAAAAGGAGTCTGGACTTCTGGCCAAGATGGAGGTGTAGGCAGACACACTATGCCTCCTCGCACAACTAAAATAAGGACAACAAAAGTTTAGAAACAAAAAAACAATCATTACTGACAGATAATTGAAGTGTATGGAAGTCTGACAACCAAGGAGTTAAAGAAATATTTCATCCAGACAGGTAGGAGGGGCGCAGTCGGATGGTTTGGTGGAGAGGGTTCTCGGCAAAGCGGCAGTGGGCGACCCCAGGCACGCGAGGCAGCAGCGGGTGAACACAGTGAGGCAGCAGATTGTGGAGGGGTGCAGTGCATAAGGTGGCTGGTGGACCAGGTGGTCCCACGTTCGTGCGCAGATAAACCAGGCGAAACTGGGGAGCAAGACAGACCATGCAACCCAGGGTCTCAGCACAGGGAAATAAGGCCTCAAAACACTGACTGAAAACACCTGTGGAGGTTGAAATGCCAGCGGGAGAAACTCCCAGCCTCACAGGAGAGTTCGTTGGAGAGACCCACAGGGTTCTAGAATGTACACAAGCCCACCCACATGGTAGTCAGCACCAGAAGGGCCCACTTTGCTTGGGGGAAGTGGGGGAAGTGACTGAAATCTGGCAGAGAGTGGAGTAAATGCCACTGTTCCCTCTCGGAACCCTTCCCCACATACAGCATCACAACCCAGCAAATGCAGCCCCGACCTGGTTAACACCTAAGGCTCCGCCCTTTCTACATAACAGGCATGTCAAGACAAAAAAAAAAAAATGGCCCAAATGAAAGAATAGATCAAAACTCCAGAAAAAATACAACTAAGTGACAAAGAGATAGCCAACCTATCAAATGCACAGTTCAAAGCACTGTGATCAGGATGCTCAAAGAATTGGTTGATTTTGGTCACAAATTAGATGAAAAAATGAAGGTTACATTAAGTGAAATGAAGAAAAATGCACAGGGAACCAATAGTGATGAAATGAAAGCTGGGTCTCACATCAATGGAGTGGACCAGAAGGAAGAAAAAAAATAAACAAACAACCAGAAAAGAATGAAGAAACAAGAATTCAAAAAAAATGAGGAGAGGCTTAGGAACCTCCAGGACATCTTTAGATGTTCCAACATTCGAATTATAGGGGTACCAGAAAGAGAAGAGGAAGAGCAACAAGAGGAAAAGGTATTTGAACAAATAATAAGGGAGAACTTCCCCAATCTGGCAAAGGGAATTGACTTCCAGGAAGTCCAGGAAGCTCAGAGAGTCCCAAAGAAGTTGGACCGAGGAGGAACACACCAAGGCACATCATAATTACATTAGCCAAGATTAAAATGAAGGAGAGAATCTTAGAAGCAGCAAGAAAAAAGGAAACAGTAACCTACAAAGGAGTTCCCATGAGACTGTCAGCTGATTTCCCAAAAGAGACCTTAAAGGCAAGAAAGGGCTGGAAATAAGTATTCCAAGTCAGAAAAGGCAAGAACCTACATCCAAGATTGCTTTATCCAGCAAAGCTCTCATTTAGAATGGAAGGGCAGATAAAGTGCTTCTCAGATAAGGTCAAGTTATGGCAGGAGTTCATCATCACCAAGCCTTTATTATATGAAATGTTAAAGGGGCTTATTTAAGAAAAAGAAGATAAAAAGCATGTACAGTAAAATGACAACAAACTCACAATTATTAACAACCACACCTAAAACAAAAAACAAACTAAGCAAACAACTAGAACAGGAACAGAACCACAGAAATGGAGATCACATGGAGGGTTATCAGCAGGGGAGTGGGAATAGGAGAGAGGGGGAAAAGGTACAGAGAATAAGTAGCATAGATGGTAGTTAGAAAATAGACAGGGGGAGGGTAAGAATAGTATGGGAAATGTAGAAGCTAAAGAACTTATAAGTATGACCCATGGACATGAACTAAAGTGGAGGAATGTGGGTGGGAGGGGATGTGCAGGGTGGAGGGGAGAGAAAGGAGGGAAATAGGACTACTGTAATAGCAAAATCAACAAACTATATTTTAAAAATTAGAAAAAAAAACCCCGAAATCTGAGAGTAGCTAAATATGTTTTTGGTTCCATGGCGTTGACCATGAACAAAAAGTCAGGCAGGTATTCCATCAGCAAAAAGGATTTATTTAGGAAAGAAGAAAGGATGCAATTCTATAAGTGCAGCAATAGCAAGCTGGATACACAAAGGAGAGGACATTCTATAGAGGGGAAGAGGAAATTGGATGGGAACTATTAAAACCAAAGAGTTCTCCCTGCAAGGGCTGTCACAACTGACAAAGGGCTTAAGGACTCCTATAGGGATTCAGGGATTCTTTTTTTTTTCTTTTTGTTTTTTAAACTTATTTTTAAGAGAAGGGGAGGGAGGGAGAGAGAGAAGGAGAGAAACATTCATGCGTGAGAAATAGTGGGTGGTTTGCCTCTCGCACGCCCCCAACTGGGAACCTGGCCTGCAACACAGGCATGTGCCCTGACTGGGAATCAAACTGGTGACCCTTTGGTTCACAGGCTGGCACTCAGTACACCGAACCACACTAGTTGGGGCTATAGGGATTCTTATCTTGATTCAAGTCTGTTACTAACTTTGACATTTGCCCCTTTGATTGAGATCTTTGAAAGCATGGCTGATCAACAGTTGAGTCTTCCAAAATCAGCAACCTTTGTCCCTTGATATTTGGAAGGACCTCTTCTGGGTGTTCTGTCAAATGTTGGAGGGAAATTCATGATCCAAATCACTTGTGCCAAGGTTCAACAAGCAACAGGTACAGAGTTTAACAGAAAAAAAGTGCAAAATTAAAAACTTAGGAAACTTAGTATATGTAATGATTTTATTTTTATTTATTTTATTATTGTATTTTTTCCTGTATGATGATTTTAAAACAGGAGCTTAGATTTGAAACCACCAAACAGGAGTCATTATATTACACAGGAGTTGTGTCATGGGGGAAGTTCCCCATAATGGCCATTGATGTTCTAAATTACTTTTGGTCACAGCAGTCCATTTAGTTAAAAATGTGCATAAGGAAAAAAATGTGCAGAAGGAACCATGGTTTTTTAAACATAAATTTGGCTGGGGCTGTAACTGAGCAAACCGGGACTTGGCCACGTGGTCCCTGAATACATGACCCAACAATTAGTGTTGAAGGA